GAATGGTAGACAACATATATTTCAACATTGGTTTGCGGGTACATAAAATCTACTTGATTGCATGAGAACGTGACCTGCAAACCATCATTGAATTATGTGTTGCCTGTCAAATGTCACAGGTATATTTTAAATTTGTGAAATTTACCAGCAACGGTTCATCGGATAAAAGCTATTATTTTCGACCATCTTGCCTGCTTAGGCAACAGTCCCTACTCCTTGGATGTTCTAATAAAACTTCAGGAGAAGCAGGAGCGTTCGAAATTAAAAAAAGAAAATTTCATTTTTATATACTTACACATTACGTATTATTTAAATAGCCGGCATATGATGGTAATGATCGGAAAATTGTTTCTCGAGGCTATTGAAATTTATAAACGTATTATAATTTGATTTTTTCCTTTGAATTTTAATAGGAAAGAGAAAAGGAAACCCGTACTCCGTTGGGTGAAGCCGAAACCGTTCCTAGGTCCACAACTGATACCAGCGCCCCAGCCGACATCCACTAGTACCTCTCCGTCAAAAACAAAGAATACATGTTTGTCAATCACCAGTGGAAAGGGTCACAGGTTTGAAAGGACACTGCGTGACTCTAGGAGCCCCTGAGCATGTTTGCCGCAGTAGCAGACAAAACGTTTGGGCACAGAATGTCCGATAAACCCCGGCTGGTGGCACATGGGTGGCCAATTTAATTCAAATTTGCCGTCACGCTTCGAACAATTCAGTTTCACTACTCTTTGAAGGCATTTAAGAAAATATCATATATTTCAAATTCCCACCCTCGAGATACTTTAAAACCCAGAGAATTCTTTCACAATTGTCAAAAATTTCATTTTTGTACGAAGTTCTTGGCATTGGACCTTCAACTGTATCGAAAAGTCACCAATAGATCGCACCACCTCCCGTGCGGCCATGGCGAAAGATTTACTCATTGTCAGATTTCTCAGAATCCAATTTTTTCCACATCAGACGCAAACGAGCTCTCATTGTTCGAGCATCTGGAGCCACAAGAAGTGTCGTAGAAATCGTGTAGAGAAGCTAAGCAATACGCGTATTAGGCGCATTGAAAGTTGGGGCAAGTTGACAGTAAGCAATTATGTAGTTTCCTTGAACAAGAGCTCTGAGACGCAGCAAGAAGCAGAAAGCATGAATGACGTGAAATTCGTACGGAGAAATTTATTTTAGTACAGACAAGTATTCATGACAATCTCTTCAATACTTAATGATTCTTACGGTAAGGTAATAATTGTCAATTGTGTGTCGTCTTTTCAGAACTTTTTCGTGGTGAGGACATAGAAAGGCAATGCGCAAATTTCTCTCTTCGCAATTTTTGCAAATGCTCTCCCAATCGTCTAAAGCAATATTTCTCAGCTTCAACAACGACCATCCAGCCCGGAAAGTAATTTTAAAATTAATAATTGTTTCTCGAGCGTTTGAATATTAAAGAAACTCTCTTTTGAATATTGAAGAACCATGTCTCTGCCACTTGAGTTCAATACCATTATAAATGTTGTTGGTATTTATTTTCATGAAACTTTTAAAATGATCGTGTTTTGAGTAATTCCTTCAATAAGAAAATTGAATATATGTACTTCTAACTCTTTTCTCGAAGCTACCTTTTTTCTATATTTTAGTACCAATACTTCTTGCTACATGAAGACTATAATTCTATTAATTTTTTAAAAAATATTTATCTTACAAAGTGTTATATCATTAAAGACAGAGTTTAACCTACTGAGGGTTGAACATTGGTGATGGTTTATTGAATTTTGTTACAAACAAACAATTTTAATACTTATTTAAATTTAATGAGGATACTTCGGCCTTAGGCATACCTACGTTTCAAATTATGTTATCGTTGACGAAAATTAAAAAAAAACTTCATAACCCATTTTGTGCATAAATACCTGATATTCATAAAAGGAGGAATCGTTACAATGAAACAGCAATTTTGGAGATATAAATGAAACTAATAAACGAAGCCACAATTTTAAGCGTCAGTTTAATGAAGGATTGACTACAAGAATGGAACAGAACCCAAACGAAATGCTGAAAATCGGCTTCGGTGATATAACAGTTAGCGCATCGGGCTGTCAAACTCAAGTTTGCAGGTTCAAATTCGATCAAAGCCGTGGGTATTTAAGGACGAAAAAATACTTCTTTCGGTAAAGTCGGGTGTCCTATGTTGTAGATGTGTAATGCACAAAATGGTTATGATGTACTGCGTGTAAAAGACCCTCAAGTCTAAAAGAAGCTACTCAGTTAAATTAAAATTGCCTGTTGTCTCACCGGAGTGATTCTCTCTTTCTTAACTAAATGGTAGAAGGAGCGTAAGGAAATTTATGTGGTCAGACAAGAGCAAGCGTAATGTTATGAGTCTAACAACGAAACATTCAAAAACAATTTACCATATAAAAACAATTAATGTTGTCGCAAGCGTTACGTACTAAGTATATAGTCGGGGAATTCAAGCACGAGTGAGTTACAAGGGGGTACTTAAAATAATCCAAATTTCCATTACGTAATTTATGGATGGTCCCTAATCCGTGAAAAGGTTATCTTAACCAAGTTACGACGTGAGCCTGGGGCGGCAGAAAATGAAACTCTCGGAAGCTTTCGTTGAAAGCCCGTGCTCAGATGTAATGAAAATACTCAATATTTTCGTGAACGAATGCTAGAGTTTTCAGCAACAAACTCTAGGTTCAAAACGGTTTTTAAAGTTCATAAAAATAATGATATTTAGGAAAGATTGCAGGAAGCCATCAATAATGTGACTAACGTAAGTACAAGACGCTTAGTGCTGAAGGTATGCAACAAAATCGACTTTCATCGAGTTCAGCCTATTTTTACTGCGCAGTATACCTTGGTAATCATTTTGAACTAAATTGAATTTTCAGTACATACATTTAATAGACTGAATGAATAGAACACTTACAAAGCGATACTATTAAAGAACTATAGTGCGTGGCATGCGAGGCTTTCCCCAAATATAGAGAGAAACATAGGAAAAAAACTGGACTTACCATACTTCATGAAATACAATTCAAAATATTGGATTTTTTGGAACAGTAACTACCGATTACCGTGTGTGTATTTCGTAGTATACGGGTGTTTGCATGTGTTGTATGCATGTACGTGTGACATCTGCCCCTTATTGTTTGGCAACACAGAATGCAATATCCAAGTATATGTTATTTGGAGTCTATTTGATATATTGGTATGTTCGACAGGTACATTCAATCTACGTTTGCGTCAGAATGTTATCCGTCCAATAAATCCGCAGTTCCTAGAAGTAAAAAAAAAATTGTCTTTTGACATTATGCATGATAAAATGAATTTTCCTCATTTGCAGAATGCCAAACGGCAATATGTTCAATTCTCGGAATTGGGTTCAGAATGTTGATGGTTCTTTATCAGTTCCATGCAGCATATTAAATCGCGTAAAACAACGCTAACAGAAAGCTCAAAACGGCGCAACTGTAGAGCCATCATTTTTTGATTCAAATTCATTGACTGTTTGTAGAGTTTCCATTGTGCGTATTGACAAAATCGGTTTGTACCACTTGAAAAGTAGAACAGTATTATGCACATACTTAGAATAATGTCGGCGTCGAAGGTAGTCCCCAATTAATATATACCCTTAAAAATATTATAGTTCAATACTGGAACGTTTGTCAGAAAAATGACTGCTTTTATCACTCCAGTGTTTAAAAGCCAGATCAGAGGGGATATGAGAATTCATTCTGTTTACTGTCTCTGAACAGATTATGATTACTTTTCACTGAAATCATTTCCGATAAAGTAGAATGGCTGACTCTACTTTTCGGAGTTCAATTTACAAGTAAATTTTCATGTTTCAATTTACACGGTTAGTCTATTTCCATCCAAATTCGCTTGCACAAAACATACGGCATCCTTTTTCCATGGATAAATGTTTACTTCATATTTTGAAGCAAATCCAGGCAAATTTTTATTCAAGCACTTATGGTGAAACCCTGTTAGAACTCAATATTTTAACTCTGCCATCCCTTGCGAGTCCTTTCGTTAGATTAGATTATTTTATGTTAAGTTCAGGTTACTGGCTGCCAAAATTACTGCTCATCCATTGATGCCAATAATTGCAAATCACACGACTTCACAGATCACAAGTACAAATTTTGTACATAGAACATAAAAAAAACATAGCACACAAATCAACCAGGCACGTGATGAACCATGTGATATTAAACTTCACGCTACTAGCGCTAAATGTGATTGTCAAACGCAACATTTCCTTTTGAAATGTTTATTTGACAGTAGATGAAAACTGCTCTCACTTCTTCTGTTTCTGTACAAAAACGAATAGCTCAACACCGCACGTCAGTATTGCGTCTATATTTGGAATAAAAACACAAGTTATAGGGTAAATGAAGCTTAACCAACATTCCCTTCAGATAAAGATACTGAGGGTATTTGGTATCATCAGGACTCGGCTTAACACCGTCCGCCATGGTTGAAAACATATTTTTGTCGCATACTCACTTGTTACGTATCTCTGATAATCTCAATCACCTCACACTTGAAGTAACCTCGTATATGTAAACATTTATATTATTCTCTTGGGCATATCACAAGTAGTTTCTTGAATTCCACGGAACAACTTGTTATATTTTGAGCACTACTTCTAATGGAATAGGCGTGGGGATCTGAATTATTATTTCGTTAGTAATACTAAAAAAAAAATCAAATTTGCAGTTCCTTAACCGATGCGAATACGTTTTCTATAACATGGGAGAGAAAATGAATAGGTATCAAATGTTACGTTTGGTTGCTACTTTTATTCATCATTCAACTCGTTATGTTTCAAAGGTGGGGAAGATATTCTGGAGCTTAAGAATTAGTGTGCAGATTATACTTCTCCCACGTATGTCACGTATAGTTTTTTTCTGTTCTTAGACAAAATAATTGAAAAAAATAACAAAAAAGCTATAATATTACGTCTCGCCGCGGAGGAGCGTACTCACCGGTGGACTTGCGCATGAGCGGGTCGGGCGGCGTGGGGCGCAACGCGCATGCGCAACAGCGGGCGCAATCGCGCCGGCAGTTGAGCGCGTACGAGCCGTACACCAGCGGGTTCATGCACGAGTTGGACACGGCCATGATGAAGAGGGCGTCCTGCACGCGGCTGTCCACCTGCTTGGCGCTCTCGCGGTCGAACATGTACCTGCAAGCAACAACAACGCCATACAGTTATTTTCAACAGACTTCATACACGCGTTGGACACGGCCAGCATGGAGACCGGGCCCTCAATGAGTACAGTTCTTTGAGTGCTTTGAACCCTCAATAAGTGAACCAGAGTTCTTTTTGATCGCGGCTGTCCACCTACTTGGCGCTCTCGCGGTCGAACACGCATTGGACATGGCCTCAATTAGTATAGTTCTTTGAGTGCCTTGAATACTCATTAAGTGAATGAGAGCCCTTTTGATCGCGGTTGTCCAACTTCGTGGTGCTTGTGCGGCCGAAAGCAACGGGTTGAAAAGTAACGGTTAAAAGTGTACCGTCTGCAAGCAACACAACGGCAAATAGTTGGAGTTAAAAAACTATCTTAGCTCAATAAGTGACATGTTTACATACTAGATCTATTTCTAGAGCTTCATAGCCACCATTTGCTGATTGTGTTGTTCTGAAGAAAATCAGCCCTTGCCCGTTTTTATTAGTTCCACGTTTAAGTGATTTTGATGAAAAGAACTATAGTCCAGAATGTAAGTTTTCTCCGTGGTTATTTTTCAAGCATAGCTTATCTCAATCTACAGCGCGTGATAATGTTTGTTTTGTAAATGTAGTAAATCCGCATAACCAGTATGTTTGTCCTGAAAGTTTGGTGATAGTGGATCACCCTCTTCTTGTGGCTTATACATCCTTTGTGTTGTGAATCCTAGCAAGCATGGGAGACTGTAACAGCTACGAATTGTCATTCTACGTCAGATGTAGAAAGAACAGAGTGGAAGAGACGTAAACAGAAGAAAGAAAGACTGGAAAGAAGATTTAGTAAGAGCAAAGAAGGTCAGAGATAAAGCACATTTTAATCACGAAGGAATCTTCAAGCGTTCTCTAAATACTTACAGCCACATGCTAAAATAGATTTGTATCTAAATTTGTCGTCACTGGCAGATGCTAATGTAAAAGGGGAAACACTGATAATAATGATAACAGCAGTGGTAAAGAGAAATAAGTGAGTCAATTATTTTCCAAGTTGACCAAGAGCCTTAACTGCTTACATTATTCCTTCAAATATTGTAATATTACTGCCACAAATAAATAATTTTGATATACAAATTTCTTAGTTTTTGAAAACAAAGTTTGAGCTTCGAGTATACTCTAGCGTTCATCAGTATTTACAATGACTTGAGAAAGTACACAACAATTTTCATATTTCAAATTATCTACCAATTTCGTCTTGGGATGCTTTTTGCTCTCATGAAAGCTATGTTATTTGACTATTATTGTTTAAAAAACTTTCAATTATTTCCAAGTGGGTTTCATAGTTGGACGCGGCCATCATGAAAAGCACGCCCTACATTCGGCTGTCCAGCTACTTGGCGCTCTCGCGGTCGAAACATTTTAAGGCTAAAGACAGAGCCAGGCTAGTTTCCGAATGAACCAGTTTAATGTCCACATTTTGTAAAATGGGTAATTTATAGCGAATGTAGATGTAGCTTCGAAGCCTACTTCAGACTTAAGCCGAATGCACTGCAACTTAGCCATTGAGGTAATTTCACTAGGATGATAAACAGGAACTAGACTGAAGTTGGAAAACGTCTAGAGTTAGTGAGAGATAAGGTGTGAATTTCTGTATGAATCGTAAGTTTCTATTTACAGGCACCTTCTGACCTCGTCAGTCTCGCCATGTAAAATAAGGCAAATTCATTTCAATTCAATACATAACCTCACTACATACTTCAATTTACAATTTATATGCATTTTCCACATGATGTGAGGAGACTCTGGATTTCAGATTTTGCGATTAACATATGTTAACCTGTTAATTTTCGGTTAATAATGTAACCTGTAATAAATTCGGTAATAACTGTCTGTTCAACCCATAATTTTCTATTAATTTTTATGCCCAATTACTTCTCGCAAACACACGAGCCGCGTCTCACGCAATTACCTTACTTCAGCCGGCTGTGTTACCAGCTTCAGCCTTCACTGTGGCTAATGAAATTAACCAGGTGATGTCCGAAGAGATCCATTCATTGGCAGTCAAGTGACTTAACAATTGTACTGCTGAGCAATTCGCTCTGAAGAAGGCCACAATACGTTGGCCGAAACGTTAGCCACCATGTCAGTGACGCAGCTCGTCCCGGATAGCCTAACCCTTAGCCGGTTCACCGCTCAAAGGGGGATGCTGTTACCAGGGAGGACCGCACGGCGCCGGTCATTCTCGGAGGGCAGGAAGCCGTCGTCCTGGCAACGGAGAACAATGGATAGTGGATTGGTCGGCGTTCAACGGAATGTACAGTACTAATCAGACGTACACGTTTTTACATGATCGCGCTTGCAATCATGTGTAACCTCCAATCATCAACGTAGCATTGGATTCCCATTCATATCTCACCTTTTAGATTAATTAAATTCATGTAGTAGAATACAATCTTTTCTTTGTTTCGCATTATTTGCCACAAACTCCTCCAGTATTTCAGAGCTCTCTGGCAACTGCAGCAACGAGGATGTAAGTCTGGAAGTTGGATCAACCGTGCATATCGGCCGATCACTTGAAAACAGCGGCCAGGGTAAATTAGATTTGTTGGCTTGATTTTATAGATGTTCTCAGAAGTTAAGTAGCTGAAGAGTAAAAAAAACAAACAAATACTTGTATTGGATGTAACTTTCATAAAATATTTTATTCACCTATAAGTTTCTCGCGCTTGGATGAGAGTTAGCTTAAAACAGAATAATTTTTGGAAGTTCTAGGAAACACACTTCATAGTGCGATTAGAAACGCGTAGCACCTTGAATAGGTTTGTTCTAAACTAATAGGTTTGTTGAGTCTAAGATATTCCGTATTATTTATTAGCACAAATCTCTCTTCAAATAATCTCTTAGCACGTAGAGAATTCAAGAACGTAGACGTTCACAGAATTCTAGAACGTAGACTCACGGACATAACAGTCATTGGATGAAACGCTTAATACAGAGCCTGGACGTTCAAAGTCGGATTTCAGTTTTAAACTATTTTCACATTTACAATAATGATTGTAAAGTGCGTAATATTTACAAGGGAACAGATGCACTTTCCTTTACTTTAATTCCGGCCGTGTAACTTTCATCTCACTTAAAGGGTGGACACCCTTTAGTAAGAGATCCATCAGTTTTCTTCGATCCATCAGTCTTGTGGAACCTTGCGCATCAATCATTCTGAAAGTCATTGTACTCGTGCCTTTGACCTGCCAATATGTAGACGCCAGTGCTACGGACGAAGCCTGACAATTACATCTACGTAGATTCGAAGAGGTGTTTGCCTAAGGTGTTTACCTACCTTGCTAGAGTAAACCAATGAAAGCATAACTCAACATTACTCATCTGCATTCAGATGCTATTCATTTGAGTATGTTAAAAGTCAATGCAATAAAACGGGCTCTATTTAGACGTAATAAATGAAGCACCATTTTCCGACGAATTCATAGACTTTCACAAACACCAACGTTCTAGATATCTTGTTTGTTTTTCGACCTCAACAGCCGCCTGTGTTATATCAAGTGCGCCTATAATCGAAAAGTCGTTTATCATTTTCTTGAGGAAGCAATACCAAGACGCATTAAAGGCGAAGGATCCCTGTGAATATGTGAAAGAGAGGAAATTTACAAGAAAACGGTAGTCAAAGTATATTATTTAGAATGACTACATTCTCAAAAAATCTTTTTATACATTTTTAAGTGTAAGAAATATTTGTACAATGTTGAAAAAGAGCGTTGAGTAACACTAGATCCTACCTAGACATCAATTAATTCAATACAGATGATATTACTCTGGATCTCGAAATATATAGCTTCTTCAGGTTAGTATGAATGAAATGAAATTCATTTTTTTACCTCACAGATCACTTTAGATTAATACCAGAGAATATACTGCTTGCATCATAGAACAGTTTCGACGATGCCGTTTTCTTGACAATGATTTGCTTACCAAATTGCGTAAGTAAATGTTTTACAAATAACAATTAGTACGAATACCAATAATCTAAAAATAAAAATCATTATGTATTTTTGAGTGTAGGTATAAAAATAGTGTAAGTAAGGTTTTTTCGGATAAACATCCTTTCTCTACCCATATTACATTAGTCTTGGAGCATACTTTCCAACCATTGTAAAAACCGATGTCATTTAATAAATACAAACTTTCCATTTTAAAATGTATCACAGATGACAAGCCAGTACCCTTTTAATTTTTATACGGAATAATAATCACGATTTATTATTGAATATAAATTTTAAGTTTGATACATCCGTCGAATAAGTCGAATAATTCTTCAATACAAAGACAGCCTCGAAAGATGACATGAAAAAAATTAAACAAAGCATAAAAGTCGGAAAACTGTTTCAGTCGACATCCAATGAACAAGAAAGACGATTATATCTGATTAAAAATGTTTGATTTCATTGCTCTTACAAATGTATTCATGACTCATCCGCGACGTGGACAAAATTCGTGGAAATGTTTGAGAGGGCATCTTACAAGCTCACTGGGTTGCCCCAAATATGTAGCTCACATATTTGCCGCCAGAGAACGCCACTACAAGAATCTCGGTGATATTTATAAAATACTACATGCAACTTTCCTCGGCTAAGCAAATATGAGTGTTGATAAGATCGGGAATTGGAGAGTTTTATTCTATTGATCTGTTGTCCAGATATCTGATTGATTGATTAATTACTACTGACTCCGGGCGCGTCAACTACTGCCATTAGTCCCTTAAGCCTTGTGCATGTTTTTCTCAGAAGTGGCAGTGATCAAGTCCTGTTGGATGACTAGATCCGGCGCCACCCACAACAATCGTCTAATGAGGTTTCCCAACCAGGCATCTCCCATCAGCACGCACCGCCCCAGCCAGGACAAGCTCTAAGCTCTCGATCGGTCTTCCGTGTGTGTGGTAATGTAGTTCATGATTGTGTGTGTGTAAGGGGTGAGGATAGGATAAGGACGAGAAACGAAAGATTTCGAGC